ACCTACCTCTTCCGGTTTGTCTGATTTGTCATTGTGTTTTCTGACTTGTTATTTTGTTTTTGAATTTGTCATTGTGTTTTCTGACTTGTTATTTTGTTTTTGAATTTGTCATTGTGTTTTCTGACTTGTTATTTTGTTTTTGAATTTGTCATTGTGTTTTCTGACTTGTTATTTTGTTTTTGAATTTGTCATTGTGTTTTCTGACTTGTTATTTTGTTTTTGAATTTGTCATTGTGTTTTCTGACTTGTTATAATGTTTTCTGAATTGTTGTTGTGTTTTCTGAATTGTTATTTAGTTTTTTTAGACTTGCATTTGCGTTTGTAATTTGTTATTTTGTTTTCAGAATTGTGATTTGTTTTGCACTTCTCGGCCACCGTACATTTCACTATTGGTCATATATTCTCCATATAACCATGTATGTGACAAATAAAAAATCTTGAATCTTGAATCTTTTGATACACATAAAATTTCACTGTGAAAATATATTATAAATATAAAAAAATATTATACAGAACCATTTTTGTAAAATATATTTACTTTTTTACCCACCATCGGTATACATTATATGTATAATCCTGAAGAGAAACGTTAAACGATGACTGTGAATAGAAAAAAAAATTGAAAATGTTCTGACCAGTCTTTAGAAAGCAGAATGAAAATGTATCAAATATCAAATTCTGTATATTTTAACTTTTTATATATTTGTATAGCTTTTTAAAGGGGTCATAAACTGCCTTTGTTTTTTATTTTGTACTGTTCTCTGATATCCACTAATGTTATCAAGATTTTTACATAAAAAAAACCTATTACTTCTATTACGTCCTGTTTTTAACCCCCCTCTTCAGAACGCTCTGTTTGAATAGGCGTGGCGGATTGTAGACTCAGAAGTAAACACCCACTGCTATTATTGGCTAATAGTTGTGTATGTTTAACAGCCTACATCCTTCCCAGATGAATGCAGTGCTGCTGTGATTTAGGTTAATAACACATAAATTCTCCATACAAAACAAACAATCTGTAATAACAGACAAAACAATAGTGACCACATAATAAAAACAGTTACTCACACTTGTGTGTTGCGATATTACAGTCGGATCCAATATAGCCGGCACAGCATCGTCTTTTAGTTTCAATCTTTCTGAAAATCCTGCGTCTAATTGTGCCTTGTTTGTAAATGAATCCACAGTAAAATGAAGTGAACAAAGGACCAAGTTCTTACTGACGTGGTCTGGCACTTTATTAAAAATAAAGTTCATCAAATAAAGTTTATTGTTTGGTTTCTGCGTAGAACTGCATTTCCCACTATTGTTATTTACCTACTACATGAATCGGTGGGCGGGGCTAAACAGTTTTTTCCAGCGGAGGCGGAGTTTAGCCACACTATTACATCATAGAGTAGACATTCCACAAGCTGCCATTTTGGCAGACTGCCTTCAATATAAGCTGTTTTTAGACTAATGAGAAAGTTTTGAGTTCTGGAAATTACAGAATGTTTTTTAGCACAATGACCCTTGTATGTCAAAAGATCAATGGAATTTTGATTTCTCAGTTTATTTATTTGACAAAGACCCCTTTAACTCTTTTTTTTTGTCTAATATGTATGTGTACGTGTATGTATGTGTTTTCTGTTTTGTTTATCACTATGTTATATGTACATTTCAGTTTATTTTATTTTACTATCTATTATATGCCATTATAGGATTTTCTTTTTAATGAAAACAAATATGGGATTCAGGCAGAGGTTTCATATGTACAACTGTTTATTTTGAATTATCCCTGTCAACGCCAAAAATCTAAAACTGATATTATAATTATTTGATTTGATTTATACTTTGAAAACCCCCTGATCTATAGCACAAGGTGTACGTGTATGTATGTGTTTTCTGTTTTGTTTATCACTATGTTATATGTATATTTCAGTTTATTTTATTTTACTATCTATTATATGCCATTATAGGATTTTATTTTTAATGAAAACAAATATGGGATTCAGGCAGAGGTTTCATATGTACAACTGTTTATTTTGAATTATCCCTGTCAACGCCAAAAATCTAAAACTGATATTATAATTATTTGATTTGATTTATACTTTGAAAACCCCCTGATCTATAGCACAAGGTGAAAGTAATATAAATGAAAATAATACAGCATATACAATACACTCATTGAGTATAACACAGTTGGAATGCTGTATTGACCAATCTGCATCCAGATCTGTAACTATGCATTTTATAATTGCTATTATGCCATTTCCTTTATGTTATTATAAAAAACAATATACTGCCATTTCAACAAGATGCTATAAAACCCACTTTTAATTTGAAACTATAATTTATGTCGGTGAGAACACAATGCACCTGTGTGTGTTTGTGTATGTGCTCACCAGTGCGCAAAGCAGGTCCACAGCCTCCAGAATGAGTTCCTGGTGGCCGATTCGAGAAACGCCCAGATCCTCGAGCTCCTGATGGGTGATTCTCAACAGCTGTTCACCGCCCACCTTTTCCTGCTCAAAGTTCTTAATGTACTGCTGCAGACAGTCATCCAAACCTTGAAAAGAGCAACACACAGCAAAATGAAGACATCATTCAAGCTGCAAGAGCATCTTGGATACTATGTATTAATTTACAGCAGTTTAGTTAATCTGCGTTACAATCTGATTAAATAAGACTAAAACAGAGATTATAAGCAACTACAGACATATACGTCTCCCGACATGGGAGTGTGGGAGCCAACTGCCTGTTTATATGGTGGCCCTCAAAAGAGTGTGTACAGCACACATAAAAAAGCTCTCTAGGACAGCAGTGAGGGACTGGGAAAGTCTTGGCAGACAGCTGTTTAAACAGGCCTCATTTTGTGGACAGGCACAGACCGAGACACACAACTTCGAAATGCTTTGCTGTCATGAACAGACGTCAGTGGACTTCAAGCCTTATTGTTACTAATAAGGGAAGACCTGTTTGGCAAGAGCTAGCTGTTGTCTGGGAAACACATGCCTCCCCCGTGCCCCCTACCCTTCTATATTGAACCTTCGCAATTGTTTTCTTCTCCCACAGATTCACACAAAACAAAACATCATATATTTATAGAAGAGAGACAGAAATTGTTTCACACGTTCAGCTAAACCAAAAGAAGTATGTTGTTTTGAGAAAATGTATGTACAAGGAAGCAGGTACTTTTTTAGAAATATTGTGATCCAACCATTCTACAAACTGAAAAATGTGCAATTAAAATGGTCTAAAAAAAGAAAAAGAAAATAATATATATAAACTATCATAAAGAAAACAATGGTGTTCGTTACCAGAATGCATCAGTGTTTCAACAAACTTAATGTCCAATTCTTGAAAAAAAATTTAATGAGTCAGGCAAAAAGATTCACAAAAATCCTCAAATATCTTTATGAGCTAGTGATTTGAATCAGATTCTCTCACTCAGTGAGTCGTACTAGGTTCACTGACTCCCTCACTGAACCGCAAGTGCAATTAAAGATACAAAAATTATAAATTCAATTAATGAATAGTATTTTAAATTAAATATTTTATATAAACATTCCTGGGGGTCCAGGCTGCAAATTCAAAGCAACAAAAAATGTATTCAGTGCAATCAATCAATCAAGCAATAACATAATACTAAAAATAATAATAAAATGATACAAACTCTCATCAGAAAAACTTTGCTAGCATCCACATGTTGTTTCTTCCTTTATCATCTGGTTTATTGTCAGCAGGAAAAAATAATGCACGTCTGATTCAGTTTAAAAAGATTCATTAAAAAGCCCTTGAATTTTCTTGTAAATTAATGGCTTGAATCAGATTCACTCAGTCAGTGAGTCGAAAATCGTGTTCACAATTGACTCACTGATCCACGAGTGTAATTAAAGATACAAAATGTGTAATAAATCAATTAATGCTATTTTTTTTTTAAAAGTGAAATTTTTCACTAAAAAATATTATTGGTAATTTAGCAACTAAAATTTAACTTTTTTTAAATTGTTGTTTTTAATTTCACTCTGTAGGTTTTACTTTCTTTTATCTCCTTTAATATGTATGTATGTGATTAGTTCTGTAGAAAATGGTATGCAGGTCCTTTACCTCAGCATTTTCAATGTTCACTTCCACCCAGCTCCCTCCTTCTGTCCTCAGCACTATTCATTTCCTCTCCACCTCCCTTAAATTTCCTCACAGACTTGCGTTTTCTCCTCCATGACTTTTCTGACTCTTTTATATTATTATCTGCATGCTCATTTCACAACAAAAGACAAGGCTGCAGAGCATGTAAAATATCCCTTTCATCAAATCCCTGATATTCATCTCTCTGTTGCATACATCTAATGGACCGTGAGGAGAAAGTTCAGATTCAGTGCACGATTCAAAACTGCTGAAAGCGAGCGTTTCACGGCTTAGCATGCAATCTGAGGGCTTAACAAATCCGCTTTACCAGGCTGATCTAAACTCGTTCCAAATGAAAGAAATCATCGCGTTTGTCGCTGCACGCTGCTATAGTGACGATAAAGGGACAGCAAGAGTGTTTGAGTAGGACCTCATTACCAAAACAAAACTGGCAGTGAGATGAGAAGCTTATATATGGGACTTATGATTGAATAGACCAATAAATAAATAAAGAAACATCTAATACTTACATCAATAGACTATTCAGAGATTTCAGCTTTTGTGTGGCATTTGCATTGTAATGCTAATGAAATATTATAGGAATATTATTATTAAAACTCTCAATATCTCTACTGAGTAGATTTACCGTGACAGATTCACAACAGAAACAAGTCAAGAAAGGCAAGGCATTTTTTTTTGTTAGAAGAATTTTCTTTAATAATTAGAAATAGCAACATGAAACCAAGTGTCTTTTTAGCAGTAATCTCTATAGTGAGTACTGCTCTTCCTGTGGCTGTCCAGCTCACACAGCGCCAGTGTACACAAACAGTAAACTCATTGATTAGGAGGACATTAATCTGCTGTTAATTGCAGCCGCTGTGGCTAAGTTGTGTTAAATACTACAAAGAGGAGCGCTGCACGTTCATCTGGGACCATTAATATCTGTCAAGCAAAGCGGGTGGTCGGCCAACAGTCAGAAGCGAGGAAGATGCAACGAGAGGGTGAGAGAGTAAGTAGGTTAAGAAATGAGTGAGTAATGAGAGAAAGTTGTACTGAAGAAGAAAATCTGATCGTATAGCTTTATAGTATGTTGACTAAAGCGGCTTTGAAGCTGGTCCACTTCAGCCATGACCTGAAAACCTCTAAACTGTCCTGAATCCATAATTTCTGGCCCAGAACCGAAAGAGGGGTCAGGAGCTTCGTAACTCTCTAAGCAATGGATGCTTAGAGATACATAGAGATAAAGATAGTTATATAGGTAAAATAAAAATGCTTTGTAGATATCAAAGGGTTATTTTATCCAAAAATGAAAATCTGGTGCTTTCTGTGCTGGTTGCTCTTTCCAAGCAATGAATGGAGAAGGGTTATTATAGTACCTTTAGATTTGGGAACACATATTCACTATAAACTAAGAGTCTTCCCTCAATAAACTCTTAGTTTGCTGCTTAATAGTAAGCAAGTTGTTGCAGTAGTGGTCATGCAGAATTAAGGCATTGATGTATGCTTTATAAGTACTAATAAACAGCCAATATGCAAGTAATGTGCATGCTAATAAGCAACTAGTTAATAGTGAATAGTGTTCCCTTATCTAAAGCGTTACCAGTTATCTAAAACTAAAACCATTTTAAAAAAAAACATTTTTTTACTTGAAAAAAATAAACACAACAAACTGTCAACAAACAGCACAAAAGGCTGTGTCTGGCCAATGCGTGTATCCAAAATCCTGTTTAGTTAAATAGATTAATACAACATGCATTTAATCAAGGCTGTATTTGAGCTTCATTGTGTGCAGTTTTATTGGATTTACTGCTATTATTCTGCTCAGAATGCCCATGGCACCACTCAGAGGGGGGCACAGGAGTGAGTCACAGGAAGCATTGAGGGGGGCAGGAAAAAAAGAGCATTGAGGGAAGGTCTTCTGCGCTGGGAAGGCTGTTGTCTGGCCATCAGTGGCATCACCTGGGGGCATCACCACTGAACCGTATGCTAATGTTAGAGCTGCTGCTACATGGTAATCGCAGTGTGCAAGGAAACCTGTGAATATGGGAACAGGAGACACTGTGTACATCATGGATTTATACAGAGAATATTAATACAAATATATTCAAAACTGTAACAGTTACTAAAATAAATCTTTTGCTAGAGCTGTGGTGCAGTGGTAGCGCACATGCTCTTGACACATTAGGGACAAAGCACCCACTTGGTTGACGTGATTTGCATCCAAACCACCCAAAAGAAGGGTATAAAAATCTTTCTGCTTGTTGTTTGCTGTCTGTGAAGCCACTGACTAAAAACCCATCACATGTAAAAACAAACAAACAACTGATCATGTAAAAAATTTTAATTTGTTAATCATTACCATGTACAGCGAAAAATATTTTATACGTTTGTTTGGTAAAATATACCATTCAAGATTTTTTGAGTCTCTAATATTCACCAAGGCTGCATATATTTAATTAAAAAATACAGTAAGATAAATACTGAAAATATTTTTGTTTTCAATATATTTTTAAAAATGTAATTTATTCCTATGATGACAAAGCTGAATTTTTAATGGCCATGAAGGTGCTGGTTAATGTTTTTGTGGAAACTGTGATTTTTTTTCAGAATTCTTTGATGAATATAAAGTTCAAAAGAACAGTGTTTATTTGAAATAGAAAACTTTTGTAACATTATAAATCCATCTGTCATGAAACTCTAGATGGCGCAGTTTGATAGGTCTAACTCAATCTGACATAATGACATCATCACATAGCCCGGCTGATTGGTTCTTTTTGTATCAGCAGCCAATGAACTTTCTGCTCAACATTTAAATACTTGGCTAGTGCTCGCCATAGCAGTTGCAGCGTGCTTCAGAAATCCTCCACCTTCCCCAGCTCCACCTGCATGATTTGTGTATGTTATATACTATATGCGCTATACGAATCGGCTCACGTCTGTTCTGTGCTTCAAACGACGGTTTCGAACGGACTCAATGAAGGAGAGGAACCGGACATAAGAAGCAGTGAAAGCGGCCATAAGAAGCAGCGAAATGTAGCAAAAATGCGTGTTCAGGGCGTCAGGTGCAGGTCAGTTTCATCTGTAAATACGCTAAAGAGTTTTGTCTTTATTAACCTAGTTGAGTATTAAACTGATAGCACCTGTTAGGCAATTACACCCTATTTTTAACATCATTCAGAATACTGTTCTAAAGGACATCATTATCGATTGGAAAGTTACATTAATAAATTTAGCAGACACATATTCTCATGGATTTATTGTATAGGAAGGGAGGGAGCTTGAGCAGACAGCAACACAAAAATATCACAGCCTAATAATGCAATAGTGTCTTCAGAATTAGGATTTTTCAAAAAAGATATTGTACTGATTTTGACTTTTAGGCACTTTAGAAAATTGTTTTGATATATTTGTATGAAATATAGGTTTGTTAAATCTCGGGTA